TCCAACTCTTGGTTGAAACTTACAGTCCATTCTCAAGTTCTCATCCAGACCATAAGATGGGATACAGAAAACCACGACCTTACATGTCAAATAAATAGGGTCCCTTTGCTGAAATACAAAAACGTGCATTTCCATGAAACTGAGGATTTGAACAAGCAACCCACACCCAGGAGGTTGAGGAACATGAAATATATGCCCCCAATTTCTCTTGCTTCTTCACTGCTGAGCCTCTCTGTTCTGCACTGAAGGCCATGATCACTTTGAGGTATGCGGATTGTTGTGTTCCCCTGTTGAGTGGTTTCTTTTGTGGGCCTCAGTTATAGTTATGAGGTGTTAACAGGCTCCTGGAAGAGCCATCAAATCAAGTGGAAGGTGTTAGATTTTGATCCCTGGCTGTGGTTCGGGTTTATTTAATTTCTGTCTCCTCCCCACACCTCCCTACTCTCAACCCTTTGGTCCATAAATCCAGGTGTATCATTTGTATCTGTTTGGGGGCTACATCCACTGTCATTCTTGCCCTTTATAGGTTTGGAAATAGCCTTTTCTTTCCATCATGAAGAGGTTGGGCCCTACAGTGTTCAGATACTTTTTACTCTTTTGATGCCCTTCTCCTGGGATCCAACAAGAACTAAATGGGTCCTTACTGCTATGGTCCATGTAGTTGACTTACAAACAGCACATGTAGATTTGTCTTCTTATGTGCAGTTTTTATTTTAAACCCAAGAAGCTGGAAACAGTGGCTCATGCCTGTAATCTCAGCACTTTGGGAGACCAAGATAGGAGGATCACTTCAGCCTAGGAGCTCAAGACCAGCTTGGGCAACATGGAAAAACCCTGTCTCTACAAAAAATACAAAAATTAGCTGGGTGTAGTGGTACACACCTGTAGGCACAGCTACCCAGGCTTGAACCCAGGAGATGAAGGCTTCAGTGAGCTGAGATCATGCCACTACACTCCAGCCTGGGTTACAGTTAGACTTTGGCTCAAAAACAACTATATATGTTTATACATATATATACACACACACCAGTGTTTGTGTGTGTGTGTGTGTGTGTGTGTGTGTGTATGTAAAAGTAAAAATAAACCCAACTGTACCCTAGTTCTTCAGAAGCTCCCTCTGGGTCAGATGTGGGGTTTTCCTGCTGGTCATTTATCGTCTTGATAAACTCAGAACTCTCATTGACTACTCTGTTGATGGACAATCATTGTCTCTCATATTTTGTCTCTCTCTCTCAATTTTGATTTTAAAAAATACTTATTTATTGAAGAAAATTTGGACCATCAAGATGCATAAAGCAAAATGTAAGAATCACAGATGAGCTGTCTTCATGAGACAATTGCTGTTAACAGTTGCCATGTCTTTCTAATTGTCCATCTAAGATCAAATTGACTATTTAGCAGAGTTGGGACCATTCATTTATTCATTTTGGTAAGTTTTTTTTTTCTTTTTTTTAGAGATGGAGTCTTGCTCTGTCACCCAGGCGGGAGTGCTGGAGTGCAGTGGTGCCATCTTGGCTCACTGCAACCTCTACCTCCTGTGTTCTAGCAATTCTCCTGCCTGAGTCTCCTGAGTAGCTGGGACTACAGGTGCATGCCACCATGCCCAGCTAATTTTTCATATTTTAGTAGAGACGGGGTTTCACCGTGTTGCCCAGGCTGGTCTTGAACTCCTGAACTCAGGCAAGCCACCCACCTTGGCCTCCCAAAGTGCTAGGATTAGAGGTGTGGGCTACTGTGCCCGGCTGGTAAGTTTCTTTTTTTTAAAAAAATGTATCAGAGTCATGCTACTATGCCTGCTTAAGCATTCTCACTTAGCTGGGTGTGGTGGCTCACACTTGTAATCCTAGCACTTTGGGAGGCTTAGGTGGGAGGATGACTTGAGCCCTAGAGTTTGAGACCAGCCTGAGCAATAGAGTGAGACCTCATCTCTCCAAAAGGGCTTTAAAAATCAGCCAAGCATGGTGGTGTGTGCCAGTGGCAGGATCGCCTGAGCCTGGGAGGCAGCAGTTGCAGTGAGCTGAGATCACATCACTGTACTCCAACCCGGGCAACAGAGTGAGATCCTGTTTCAAAAATTAAAAATAAAAAGCATTCTCACTCTTTTACATGATACCTCATGTTCACAGAACACTGAGAGTACCTGTCTTCAGCAGCTTCTCATGCACCAGTTCTCTGTGCTGACCTTGTCTGGTTCCAGTTTCACAGAGTTAGCACACTGGGACTGAAGACAGGATTTTGGAGTCATCCAGAAAGCCCCAAGTATGGGACTATTCCAGTTCTGAACATGGCTATGGACTCACAGGATGAACAAAGTCAGCATAAAAATGTAAGATATTCTCATGTCAAAAAGAACCTAAGAAATCTGCTCAGGGCGCTAATTGAGTATCTTAATCATCAGATCCTTTGATTTCTTTCTACAACTGCTCACAGTTTGGAATGCCATTTTTTGTCATTTATTTACTTATTCATTCATTCATTCATTAAGTAGATTTCATTTTTCAGAGCAATTTTAGGTTTACAGCAAAGTTGAACAGAAAATACAGAATTCTCATATACTTCCTCCCCTGCTGTTAATGTCTGACACCCCAGTGAAACATCTGTAGCAGACCTTATAGTCTCATGAACCAACAATGACACATCATTATTAATAAAGGCCCATAGTTTACAATAGTGTGCTTTCTATGAGTTTTGACAGATACATGTTGACATATGCTATGGTTTGAATGTGTTTGTTCCCTCCAAAAATTCAGGTGTTGGAAACTTAATCCTCAATGCAACAGTGTGGGGAGATGGGGCCTAATGGGAGGTGTTTAGGTCATGAGGCTTCACTTTCCTGAATGGATTATTTTATAAAATGGGCCTTTGGGAAGAATTATCTGTCTCCTGCTCCTCTACCCTATAAGGAAAAGCATTGGGAAGAATTATCTGTCTCCTGCTCCTCTACCCTATAAGGAAAAGCATTGGGAAGAATTATCTGTCTCCTGCTCTTCTACCCTATAAGGAAAAGCATTACCTCTGGAAGATTCAGCAAGATGGTCCTAACAAGATACCTGATGTCAGCACTTTGATCTTGAACTTCTCAGCCTCCAGAACTGTGAGAAATAAATTTCTGTTTTTTCTAAATTACCCAGCCTCAGATGTTTTGTTGTAGCAGCACAAAATGGACTAGACAACATGTATTCACCATCATAGTATGTACAGAGTAATTTTATTCCTCTAAAAATCCTCTATGCTTTCCTTATTCATTCCTCTCTCTAGACCCCTGCCAACCACTAATCTTTTTACTGCTTTCATGATTTTGCTCTATCCAAAATGCCATATAGTTGGAATTGCATAATATACAGCCTTTTTAGATTGGCTTCTTTCACTTAGTAATATACATCTAAGGTTCCTCCATGTCTTTTCATGGCTAGATAGCTCATTTCTTCAGCACTAAATAATATTCCATTGTCTAGACATGCCACAGCTTATCTGTTCACCTATTTGAAGGACATCTTGGTTGCTTCCAATTTTTGGCAATTCTGAATAAAGCTGCTATTGACATCTACAAGCAGGTTTTTCTGTGGCATAAGTTTTCAACTTTTTTGGGTAAATACTAAAGAGCAGTATTGCTGGATCATATGGTAGGAGTATGTTTAGTTTTGTAAGACATCACCAAACCAATTTTCAAAGTTTGTACCGTTTTGCATTCTCTTTGGTGATAAGTAGGAGTTCCTGTTGCTCCACATCCTTGCTAGTATTTGACATTGTCAGCATTTTTTATTTCAGACATCCTAGCAGGTGTGTAGTGGCAACCTTTAAAAAAAAAAAAAAAAAAAGGCTTTCCTAGTTGGAATTGCCTGGCAATGAGTATGTGAATGTGGATCTAATATATTATCCACTTTCTGTTCTTAAGCAAAAGTATGCTAACTTCTGAGAGCCACACAGTTTGTCCCTTAGCCCCTCCGTTTTAGCACCATACCTGGCACCCTGTAGGTGGTTAGTAAATATCTGTTGATTGCATGGCTTCTAATAACCCAGCTTCCTCTGCTTTTGAGAACTATAAGGAATCCATTTAGAGAGTTTCGGACCAGCACTTAGGCATATGCATGCACATATACACTGCACATGCACATGCGTGCGTGCACGCGCGCACACACACACACACACACACACACACACACACACACACACACGCACTCTTCTGCTGTAGCTTGGGACTGTATTATTCAGACTCTTGAGTTCCAGATTCTGAGTACATCCAAATGTTGGCCTCGAGGCCAGTAAGTGATAACAAATGAAGCGTGTTTGGGTGATGTTTTATCTTGGTCAATAATCAAGTCTAGTATCACATTTGTGTCTTCGACCATGAAAAAGTCACTCCTTCTATTGCTGACAATATGAGCAAGTCTCACACACCTGCATCTAAGGACACTCACATCTTGTCAGGATAGAAGCAAAGGCTGATGACAGCTGTGGTCACCACCCCTCTCCTTTTTTCCTCCCATCATGGTTCTTCTTAGGAGGGTTCTTGAAGTAAGGAGACCTGACATTTTCTGAATCCTTTGGAAGTAAACCTACCATCCATTTCTTGTGCTCCCACTGTACTCTGTACTTATTCTTCACTATGTGCTTTACATAGGGTAGGTGGTATTGAATGTGTGTTGAATGACTAATGTACCTTTGAGTTGATGTAGAAGTCCAGAGTTTGCTAGTAAAGAACCACATAACATTCCTAGGTTCATTGTTTAGAGCCATTATTGTAGCTGCTTTGCAATAGCAGAAATGACTACAGGTTTGCCCTTATGAGCCTACATCCATAGCCAAATGTGGAACCAATGCTCCCCAACCCCCTACCTCCTGTTTATTGTCAAAAACACACCACACATTGTAGCAATCATATTGCCAAAGCTTTACGGCATCCATAAATTGAAAACTACTGCCTCTGACAGTTACGGGCTTGTGTCAACACCAGATCACATTGACTCTTCTGGAATGTGTTTGCAAATGCACTACACCAGCCTTGGAAGCTGTTGACATCAGAGGCTGTAAGTTAATTAGATGTGGCCCCAGAGCATTGTGGGTCTTGCCATCTAGTAGAATTATTTTTTCTTAAATTCTTCTCTTTAATTCAGTCCCAGGGTAGGAGCTGTCTTGGCTGCCTTATTTGGTGGGGAGTCTGAGTTGCTGGGCAAGTGATGATGTCTGTGAATAACTTCTCTTTCTTCCCTTTTGGCAGATGGCAGTAGGAATGGCTGGGGACAGTGAGAAATGGTCGTGGCCGTGAACTCTGCTCTGAAGGAGAGACTACTCACCACCTGCATGTTTTAAGCAGGCTCTGTCCAACTATACGAGTGCAGCCCTCTGGGCAGGATATTGTTGAGAACTATGCTGTGACTCCATGTTAGTGGCCATGCAAGCCGTGGGCTCCCTGGCCCTTATGTGTGCATGTAACGGGAGTGCCTGAGAGGACATCCTGGCTCTTTGGAGGTCCTTTCTCTGCCTCTTTTTCCTCTCTACTGTAACATCCTTGTTGTTCAGAAAGAAAATGAGAATCTCCCACTAGTTAGAATATGTCCCTAAGTATACACAGTTTCTATTCTGGAGGAGCCAAGAAAGGAACAGGATTCTGACTGGTTCTATCAGGCTTCAAGGAAAATGCTGTCCAATGAAATCGTCAAGACTTGGGTTCCTTCTCCCACTGCTGTGTCCTGGTGCAGGTCATTACCCCCAGCCTGACAGGTTGTCACAAGTGCTTCAGCTGACAGGAGCAAACATTGTGACAGAAGTTGACACCCGGAGCAGTAGGAAATGAAGCCAAGGAGGTCAGGGTGAGCCCTGCAGAGTTGTCTGCTGACAACCTCCTTCCCTGCCCTGTCATATTGATTCAGCTTCAGGTGCCAAGAGCTGAGCAAGACGCAGAGGAGACAGAGAGTTTACATTCGAGTGGTGGGAAGCATGCACGCACACGCACAGACACACAGGCATTTCCACACAAAACCACCTAACATGTATCCATCCAAGTGCGTGGTGGCTGAGTCAGTACCTCAGGAGTTCTGAGTAATCGGTAGATGATATGTAGACTGATAGAAAGGAGAGGTACTTTTAGGCAGGTGGTCTAATTAAGAAATGAATGTGGTAGTCTAAGCATGAGCTACATAGTGACTCAACTAAAGTAGAGAGCTCAGAGGGAGTGAGGGGTGGGGGTCAAAAAGAGATGCAGTGAGGTGTTGAAGAACAGGCGTACACAAAATGAGTTGGAGAAATCTCAGGAGACTCTCTAACCAGTCCCCAGCCCTATTTAAGGCAGTGGAGTGGCTATAGCCGTGGAGGTTTTGCTGTCAACCTTTGGGGATACAGATGCTCCATGGCTTCCAATGAGGTTACCTCTCAATAAACACACTGTAAGCTGAAAATATTGTAACCTAATTTAATACATCTAACCCACTAAATGCATTTAATACATCTAACATTGTAGCTTAGCCTCGCTACTTTAAATTGCTCAGAACACTTACGTTAGGCTACAGCTGGACAAAATTGTCTGGCAACACAGTTCACTGTAGAATATCGGTTCTCTACCCTCATGATCATGAAAGAGTATCATACCACTTTCCACTGGCTTTGTATCATTTTTGTACCATTGTAAAGTTGAAAAATCGTAAGTCTAAACATCTTAAATCAGGGACTGTCTGTATTTCAACATTTAATTACCATTTCCAACATCCCAGAAAAATCCCTCTGCTTTAAGTTACTTTTTGATTTGTTCATTCATTCACTCACTTACTCTTTCATTCATTCATGCTTCAGCAATTACCAAGCATATACTTTGTGCTTGGCCCTCTGCTAGGCTGTGGGGATTCATTCATAAATCAGACCTCATGCCTGCCCTCAGAGAGCTTACAATTCAGTAGACATCATATACATGTAAACATATGTGCAAGTAATAAAGGGCAAGTAATACATCTGCAGAAGGCACAGTGAGCACATAAATGAAGATGTCAGCTCTGCATTGAGGTGTGGGGCTAGAAGGGTCTTAAAAGAGGAAGTGGTCACTGGAGTTTTTTTTTTTTAAAGGCTTTGCCAAATGGACAAAAGGGAGTCGGGGAGAATTTTTCAGCAAAGAGTAGAGTATCCAAAAGCCTCTACATGGGAATGTCTGAGGAGGACTCTGAAATTGGATTCTAAATTCCCTAAGGTAAGGCATGGCAGGCTGGGGATACTAGAAGTCAGCAGGTCACTATGGCTTGATTTACTGTATGTATGATTGGAAATAACACATTTCTATTAAAGTCAGTAAGGCTAGTATGAGGCAGGATGCAAGAATATCAAAACTTATCCTAAAACAAAAGACTTCCCAGCATGTTGGGAGGCTGAGGCAGAAGGATCCCTTGAAGCCAGGAGTTTGAGATCAGCCTGGGCAACATAGTGAGACCCCGCTCCTACAAAAATAAAAAATAAAATAAAATAAAAAACAGCAGGGCATGGTGGTGCATACCTGTAGTCCCAGCTACCTGGGAGGCTGAGGTGGGAGGATCACCTGAGCCCAGGAGTTCCAGGTTGCAGTGAGCCATGATTGCCCCACTGCACTTCAGCCTGGGTAACAGAGCAAGACTCCATCTCTAAAAAAATAAATATAGATAAGTAAAATTTTAAAAAGACTTTTAAAGAGACATAAAGGGTTTTGCAGACTATTTCAGGGTATGCCCCTGCCCTAGTCTGCTCAGGCTGCTATAAGAGATATCACAGACCAGGTGGCTTAAAGAAAAGAAATTGATTTTCTCACACTTCTGGGGGCAGAAGGCTCAGATGCAAGTCTGGCAGGGGCAGTTCTGGTGAGGGCTGTCTTCCTGCTTTGCAGGAAGCCTTCTTGCTGTGTCTTCACATGGCAGAAAGAGAAAGCGCTGGAGTCTTTTTCTCTTCTCGTAAGGACACCAGCTCTATCAGACTAGGGCCTCCCTCTCACACCCTCACTTAACAATGAAAGCTGTAAAGAAAGGAGAATCTCACAAGAAGACCAAGAGAAGTGAGCTGCAGACAAATCCCAAGGGCCCTACATTTAGGCTAAGCCTGTCTCCCAGGCAGCCAGAAGCCCCCGAGAGGGAGAATCTTGATTGATTTAGGTTTCTGGCAGATCGTTCTGGCTGCAGTCAGCAACTATTCAAGGAAGCAGAGAGACTGGTTAGGAGGCTCTGGCCCTGGGCAGGTGAAAAGCTGAGGCTTGACAGGTTATATATTAATGAAAGATGTTTGGGGGATAAAATGAAATAAATTGATGCCCTATTTGATTTGTGGGGAAGAGAGAAGGCAATGGAAAACTGTGGGTGACTCAGGTTCTTGGCTTGGTAAATGGCCTTCCTCTGTTCTGGATTTCAGGGGAGCAGAAATCTGCTCCAGGGCTCACCTCTTGATAGCTAAACTACTTGCAAACAGTAATCAATCCCTTCCTGTTCTTGGCTTCCTGAGGTCTTCCGCCATTTTTCTCGCAGTAAAATCCAGTTGTTGGCAAGTTAGAGCAAACACAGGTGTGGACAAAAAGGGAGGCCAGGTGTGGTAGCTCATGCCTGTAATCCCAGCACTATAGGAGGCCCAGGCAGGAGGATTGCTTGAACTCGGGAGTTCAAGACTGGCCTAGCCAACATGGTGAAACACTGTCTCTATAAAAACTACAAGAATTAGCCTGGCCTGGTGCTGCATGCCTGTAATCCCAGCCATTCGTGAGGCTGAGGTGGAAGGATCACTGATCACTCAGTGATCACTGAGGTGGGAGGATCACAGGGAGGTCAAGGCTGCAGCAAGCCGAGATCTCGTCACTGCACTCCAGCCTAGGCGACAGAGCAAGACCTGTCTCGGGAAAAAGAAAAAGAGAGAGAAAGAGAGAAAGGAGGGAAGAAGGGAAGGGAAAGGAAGGGGAGGGGATGGGAGGGGAGGGGAGGGGAGGGGAGGGGAGGGGAGGGAGGGGAAGGGAGGGGAAGGGAGGGGAAGGGAGGGGAAGGGAGGGGAAGGGAGGGGAAGGGAGGGGAAGGGAGGGGAAGGGAAGGGAAAGGGAGAGGGGAAGGGAGGGGAGGGGAGGGCAAAAAAGAAAAGAGAAAAGAAAGAAAAGAAGAGAGGAAAAGGGGCTTCTCTGGGTTGAAGGTGGACACCTGACATTTTGACCACACAGTTGTTCTTTCAGCCTGGTAGATCAAGCCCTTCCCCATGCTCTGTAAAGTCTTGGTGGGTCTGGCAATCAAATTAAGCCAATCTAATTGACTTTGCTGGGTCACTTGATCCCAACATAGTCAAATAGATTCACCAGGAATGGTTTTTTTTTTTTTTTTTGAGATGAAGTTGCCATGCTGGAGTGTGGTGATGCAATCTTGGCTCACTGCAACTTCTGACTCCCTGATTCTCTTCCGTCTAGCCAGGCATGGTGACTACAGGAGCTGCCAATTTGTGTATTTTTGGTAGAATCGGAGTTTCACCATGTTGGCCAGGCTGGTCTCAAACTCCTGACCTCAGGTGATCCACCCAACTTGGCCTCCCAAAGTGCTGGGATTACAGGCGTGAGCCACTATGCTTGGCCTTCACCAGGAATCTTGAACAGCTTGATACTGGACAGAAAATGTCCTGACGGATAATCTGTACTGTATGCCCTGTTACCTTGCTCCCAGGACCTTCCCTTCTTCCTGCCCTTTCTAAGACTAAGGGATTCAGCATTTCTTTTGATGTTGTGAACTAGCCTGTATCCTTTCAGTAAATTTTTTTTTAATTTTACATACTTAATATCCATTATTTGTAACTAAGAACCCTAGTTGATGTCCAGAGAGTGGCAAGAAGGGCTCAGTATCCCACAACTGTTTCTGTTGGGCCCTACTTGGGCTGTGGGTGGAGGCCAGAGTTCAGCCGCCTCATATGGCCGTCACATGCTCTGCACAGTCCCTCTGCCCATCTGCAGCAGGGAGTCAGGTTTGTCCCTTCATGTTGAAACCATCTTCCCATCCGGCCCAGGCTCAGTTGACAACCTTATGGAAATTACTTCAGCTGCCTTTCCCAGCTGTCAGACTCTATGGAGGAGGAAGTCATAATTGAGGGAATGGTGGAAGACCGTCCACAGGACTGTCCCCAGTGAGGGCATGGAAAGGACAGCAGGGGCTCTGACTGCTAGAGAGAAAGTGAAAGTGGAGTCATAAAGGGAGGGAACGACAGATGGAGATGGTCTCAGGTGAGCTTTGCCAGTGCAATATTAGCTTTCCTTACTTTTATTTTTAAAGGTACCAATTCCAAGATCTGCTGCCAGTAGTTTCTGAAATGCCAGATCTGAGTGCCAGAGAAAGCTGGAAAGCCAGTCAGCCAGGACTGCAAGTGCCAGAAGATTACAAACACAGCCACTCGGTGCAGCTTGCTGGAGAGCTCAGTGCCTTCTCATTTCTGCCAAATGAATGTGGCCATCAAGGTAATCTCCAGGCCTCTGGTCCAGGTGCAGGTCCAGAGAGGTAGACCCACCCTGGAACCCTGGAGCTGGTTTGGGGGCTTTAATGAATGGTTCTCCTTGTCACATCCGGGCAGGTCTGTAGCCAACAAAAAAAATTCGGCTCTCTTCATGTCTCCTGTTGCCAGGAGCGATTGCAGAACATCTGTCAGTAGTTGGATCAGGATTCCCTTCTGTCTCTACAATCCTTTGAGCTTTCTTTAAACAAAGAGGCTTACCACCTTCTTCCCCATCCTCCTTCCAAAAGTAAGCTGTCAAAGGGTATCAATACGGAGATGTTTGTGTTTTACGTTTCTAGAAAGAAATATGAAAGGCAATGATAATAACAGAAGAATTGCCCTGAGCAGGCACTCACGATCTATCCTATACACATAAGAAATCTAAGTATGAGATAACTGATATTAGGTGTAAATATCAGGCCTTAGGTATAAATTTATTATTTACTGGGCACTTATGATGTTCCAGGCATTGTACTAGGTGCTATCTGAGAAGGCTCTGAGGAACTTAGTTGCCTGTTTCATAGAAGAATGACAGGGTCATAAATAACTGGAGTTCAAAGTCTAACGTTCAGCTCAGGTTCAGTTCAGAATACAGAAGTTGTGGTGGGGAAAGTCTGATTTTAAATTACCTGTGCTCCAACTGCCGTCAGGGAAATGTCTGGTCCACTCTTGTGTTCTTATCACATATCTCCTTGGATGGTCAGCTCTCCTTGTATGTATGTGTACGTCTCTCTACTTAAGGGGAGAGAAGGGAGACACTCATCTTTTTTTTTTTTTTTTTGAGACAGAGTCTCGCTCTTTTGCCAGGCACCAGGCTGGAGTGCAGTGGCACAATCTTGGCTCACTGCAACCTCCACCTCCCAGCTTCCAGCAATTCTCCTGCCTCAGCCTCCAGAGTAGCTGAGACTACAGGTACACGCCACCTTGCCCAGCTAATTTTTGTATTTTAGTAGAGACGGGGTTTCACTATGTTGGCCAGGATGGTCTCAATCTCTTGACCTCATGATACACCCACCTCAGCCTCCCAAAGTGCTGGAATTATAGGTGTGAGCCACCGCGCCCAGCCTGAGACTCATCTTTGATCTCATATCTCAGAAGAAAGTGTGTGCTGATTGATGGACTGGTTGGCTCAGGCAAATTCAGGGATTTTTCAGGGTTAACTTTAGGGCTCCGTATGAGTGGTAGTTCAGGAAGGAGACATTTACTTATCATTTTGTACCCTTCTGTACTCTCTGAGTTTTGTTAAATATCCTTAAATCTTTAGTGCCTGGTGCCAATTATCTCTGAGTAAAGTTGGCCCTGATTTGCATGATGACATTCAGTGTAGCAATTTTTAATCATGTTTTATGAAGAGCACTGAATTCTGGGTTCTCAAGTAGAGGAACATGTTTGACTGTGAGTGTATTTGCTGGATCAGGCAGGTTGGATGTGCTTCTGATAACTGAAAAAAACCCAACAGGGACATAACAAGCATGTAGCAGCGGATTGGTTTTCCTTCTTAATGACAAGCCACCTTTAAAAACTACACATTCTGAGCCTGGGCACACTGGCTCGCGCCTGTAATATCACCACTGGGAGGTCGAGGCAGGTGTATCAGTTGAGGCTAGGAGTTCAAGACAAGCCTAGCCAAAATGGCAAAACCCGTCTCTACTAAAAATACAAAAAAAAATTAGCTGAGTGTGGTGGTACACCTGTATTCCCAGCTACTTGGGAGACTGAGGTGTGAGAATCCCTTGAACCTGGGAGGTGGAGGTTGCAGTGAGCTGAGATAAGTGCCATTGCACTCCAGCTTGAGTGACAGATGAGACTGTGTCTCAAAAACAAAATAAAAATAAATATACATTCTAAACTACTATTAAGAACCTCCTTTCCTACTGGACAATCCCTGCCTGCCACCTTCCTGGCTGTACAGGTGTGGAGACCTGGCCCTGTGCCATCCTTGTCCTGAAACAAAAAGACCCCATGGGACAAGGAGGGAAGTGCTAGATTTTCTAAAGCTCAGAGCAATGAAGTTCCCTTAGCTCTGCTAGAAAGTTTCTATCAGATTTATCCTGGAGGACCTTGGCCCAGAAGCTGATTGTTTTCAGAAGTCTTAAACACTGAACCTTCCCATGGCCTTCATAGCAGTGCCTTCCTTCCAGAAGCCATTTCCCTTCTCCCCACAGTGAAATGTGTGTCCAACCAAGGCAAGTGCTGGAGGGAATGGAAGTTCAGCAACTTCAAGATAAATTCCAAATTACAAGGACATACCCACCCGGGGTTGTTCTTTTCAGCCAGGCACTGGGGAAGCAGGCCGAGCAAGCTCTGGAGCAGGCCCTTTGGAATCTAGGCTGTACCAGTTATGGGGCCTTGGGCAACTTAGTTACTTAACATCTTTGAGTCTTACTTTATCTATAAAATGGGAATTAAAATATCTGCCCTGCGAGATTATTGTAAAGTTTTGAAGTAATAAATCAATCCATGGTGATATGATTAAACTTTCATTCATCCATCAAACATTACATGTTGACTATGTGTTAAGCAGTATGCTGGGAGCCAAGAGAGGTTTCAAATAGTAATTCAGCAGGCCATTGCCCTGCAGGGATTCAAATCTAGAAGAAGAGGTGAAAAATTTAACAAATACACACCTGTAATCCCGGCACTTTGGGAGGCCAAGGTGGGCGGATCATGAGGTCAAGAGATCGAGACCATCCTGGCCAACATGGTGAAACCCCATCTCTACTAAAAATACAAAAATTAGCTGGGTGTGGTGGCGTGTGCCTGTAGTCCCAGCTACTTGGGAGGCTGAGGCAGGAGAATCATTTGAACCCAGGAGGCAGGGGTTCCAGTGAGCTGAGATCGCACCACTGTACTACAGCCTGGGGACAGAGCAAGATTCTGTCTCAAAAAACAAAAAAAAAAATTAACAAATACATTAAATCAGGCGATGAATGCAATAATAAAATATGTACCACATTTACTGGTGTTACAAAAATAGGAGTGAAATTCAGAATTCAGAAATTACTATAACAAGTAATGTTTTGATAAGTAGGATGATTTCTTCCCAAAGAATTGCTGATTATACTTAATTAGTTCATTTATTAAATAGTTTAGCCTCATATGTATCAAAAATTCAAGAGAGGGTCTCTGTGTCTTTTCCCCATCCCTGCTGCCTCTGCTTGGTTGAAAATGGCATCACCTGCAGGCTGGTGACCTGCAGCAGCCTCCTAGCTGAGCTTTTTACCTCCAGATGTGCCCATCACCATCCATTTGTTTGCTAATTTTTGTTGATGCTAGTAATAGTTCCTCACATCTGTACAGTGTTCCACTCATTTACTCTCTTTCCTCAAAAGGAATCTAAATTGACCTTCACTGCAACCAAATGAGATGTAGGAAGAACAGAGTGATTATCCTCAATTTTAAGGAAAGTGAGAGCCTTAGAAGTCAAATGACTTACCTGGGACCAAACTGAAACTGAAACATCCTTTCTGAGTCCAAGCCCAGTAATTTCCTTTCCGTGTCTCTCAAGCAAAGGCATGGGACTCTTAAATAATATTATGGCTTCTTGTTTCTCAATACAACTGACAACTTTGTTGGTTGTTAGAGCTCAGGGGAAGCATCTGTTTGACTAGAGGGGTCAGACATTTCCAGTCACTCTTGCCAAACCTGTGATTAATTAGGGAGTGCAACTAAAGTCCTCTCCTATGCCAGAGGCCTCTTGGGTCAAGCTCCTGTCATTGGCACAGGGGCAGTTTTCACAGCCAGATGGAGGTTCTGGGTGAAACGCCTGGCAGACAGGGTTTTTTCCTTGCTCATGCTTCCAGGGGCACCCTGTGAGGGGCCAGGACTTGGGTCTAGGAACAGAGTGTTCCTAGGGGCACAGCTCTGGTTCAAGAGGGCTGCTGAGCAGTGTCCAGGCTCCTTCTTGTTCTGGGGTTACAGGAATTGTCTTCTGAGCAGCACTTGCTTCTGCTTCATTAATTTCACATATTCCCTCATATGTTCATTCATTCATTTATCCATTGATTCAATGTATGTGAAGCACTATTTAAGCACTGAGTATGCAAATCAGAAAAAGACACAGTCCTGGCCTCTTCCTTCCATCTCTCTGAGGACTGTACTGATTGTGTCAGTCCTGTACCTGCTTCACTAACGCAGCCCCCAAGGGAATGCCACATGCTCACAGCCCTTTTGCCAACATGGCCAATTCTGGTACCATGTGACCTGCCTTTGCAGCCTAGGCTGGGCACCTTACCCAGAACAGACATCCAATTGGCTGACCCATAATGTGACCCTCTGGGAAAATCTGATCTGTGCTCCTGGAAATTTGAATTAGGAAATATGGAGTGATGGAGGCAGTCCAGGGGCACGAGCTGTAGAGCTGACTGACTTGACGTTGAGTCTGGGCCATGGCTGGCTGAAACCACATGTAAACTAAAGAGATGGAGAAGAAGAAACTGATTAAACTTCAAGGGAGGCTTACACTTGTAATCCCAGCACTTTGGGAGGCCAAAGTGAGAGGATCACTTGAGGCTAAGAGTTTAAGACCAGCTGGGCAACAAAACAAGACCCTACCTCTACCAAAAAAAAAAAAAAAAAAAAAAAAAAAGGAAAAGGGATACAATGGGGAACAAGTAGACAAAACTCCTCTCCACCTGGAGTAAAAATCTTCACACAGTGCTTGCATGGATACAAGGCCCTGTGTAGTCTAGGTCTTGCTCAGTCACCAGCTTCGTGTCCCCAACAAGGACTCTAGGCATGTTGCAATTTGCAGTTCCAACATGCAATTTCCGAGACATGGTGGGATCCTTTCCATCATAGTATCTCTGTGTGGAATGTGCTTTCTCCACCTCTCAATGCTTGCTGAAAAGCAAGACTCAGCACAAATATCAACTTCTCCTTGAACTTTTTGCCTGACTAAGGCCTCATTTCCCCATCCCAGTGAAAGTGCAAAGCCCTTCTGTGTGTTTTTATAGTGCCCTATAT